AGTATATAATCCAAACAAAACGAACACATATCAATGGAAAACTAATAGATAAAACAGATTTTAGCTTCGATGTGGGGCTGAGAAGGTATTGTATTTACAATGATGTGTTTTTATTTTTTTTCAAATATTTTTGTGTCTGTATCCACGATGTCTTCTAAGCCGCTGTACCGATTTCTTCGTGTAGCAACTCTATAGATCAGAAATCTTCTTTGGCCAAAAATTAAAAAAATTCACTCCTTCTCTTTCATAATAGAGAAAAACAACCAACAAATATACATATTTTTCAACTTATTAGACCACAGTTTCGCATCGAAGCGTTTATTTCAAAATTACTTTATCACTTTCAGTTATAATAATTATTCCTGTTGACCTGCGACTTCTTGTTTCCACTATACCCCCACTACACTGTATAAGCTTTTTTTCTTGTATACGGCTGTTTGTTGAAATTCAATGTACGGATATTTTAAAGAAATAAAAGGCCGACCACTTTATTTTGTGTTAATAAAATTGCCTATACCGAACCCCCTCGACAGACACACACAAGGCGTTGGTTACACGTCTCCTGGGCGGCGCTTTCATCATAATGTACAATATAATATAACAATAATAGTAATAATGGTCGTCATACTTCGCTATGTAGTCGAACAAAATACGAGGCTCTCCTCAAGGTTTTCGGCTGTTTTTATTTTATTTACAAGTCTACTACCGACGAGAACGCTATAAGTTTTTCTTGGCGATTTGACTACAAAAAAGTATAATCGGTCGACCGAAACCGAGTCAACGCCGTTTCCTTGTCGGACACACGTCACCACACACACTTTGAATGGACTTTGAAAAAAAGGACTACGACTTTTATTTTTTTTCCACCAACGTCACCAACTACGTTATCGAAAGAGCGAAAGAACACATTAGACGACACTGCGTGTAAACACAGACGGTTATAAATATTTACAATATTATAATATGATTATGTGAAATAATACAATACATACACATTTATTTTAATCGACAACAATAAAATTGTATAATAAACTGGAGTGACGCAAGTGACGTCAAGGAATTCGAAAAAAAATAACATTGCTCACTCTTATCTACAAAAAAAAGGTGTCTTTGCGATAATAACGGAACGACGGTGGCGACGAAGGCACACAAAAGATTATTACCGTTAGATTAAGATGCGAAAATGCAAACACTCGACCAAGTACGACGTTTAGCATACATCATAATAAAAATACAACAGATAATACGATAATAATAAACTATAATCCGTTTTTCGTCTCCCCCCCGGCGCGTTTCTCGATTAGGTGAGGTCGTGCGACGCTTTTTTATTATAATTGTCTCGGGTTTAACTTTTTCTCTACTTACAGGAACACCCGAGAGACCGATCGGTTGTAAGTGTTTATCTGGACAATTCGAAAGAGATAAAACCGCATACGGAAGTCAAACGTACTTGGACACGTGACTTATTCGCGGTTATCGGTCGCTATCAGAAAATCCTATCGACCAACGTTCTACATTATTATAAAAAAACACCTCAGACCAGCAGCTGTAGACGGACTGAGCACAGAAGACGTTGTATATTGTTTGTAGGCACACGATGGGTTACCGCTGTTTATCTTCTTCTAAACTCAGCTGGCAACAACTGGTTAGGAAAAAAAATTGTAAAAATACATTCTCTTTAGTTCTGGCATAGGTTCCACTACCATATAGATTCGGAGTGCCTGAATAGGATCCGATAGGTTAAGATTAGTGTATTACAAACATTTAATGGGCGTAGAGTAAAAAAAAAACCGGCTCGGTTGTCTTAGAAGAGATCCGATAACATATTATTATGTCAGGTGTAAGTAGGCACAGATTTAGGGCGCCAGAGTATGTCAAAGAGCAAATGGTTTCATAAAAAAAAACACTTATTTCAAAACTACCTCTTAATAACTTTAGATGTACCTATGTGAACCTAACCGATTGCCCAAGAGTGGTCATAATACAACGAGGCATTCTTCGACTATACTTAAACCGAAAAAAAAAATTAATGTATTCCAAGTAAGTCACGCCTTTAACGGAAGCGTTGCCGGTCTGAGTACGGAAACTTGTACACTATGATTCTACCGATGGCCTTCTCAATTTTTTTCCCATTGTCTAGCGATTTAAATAAATTATACATTGTTTCTTTTTCTTTTCGTGTTTTTTACCTTCGAGCAAAACAGTACACCGGACGCAATTGTAATTAGTGTAGACGCATGACTAGGCTGGCAGCAGTTAAATTACTATATTACTATACAAAACCGATAAACGAAAATATGTACATTACAGTCATTATTAACTAATATACATTAAAATAGGTAAATTGTTAACAAAAAAATAAAAAAAATTTCAGACTGAAAAATACAAAATATGCAAAACCGTCAACAAATGTAACATAAAATAAAAGTGATGATGAATATATTTTATATTGTGGCCGTACTCGTAGTAGGTATTTTAATTGACGTTTTATTATGATTTTAATGGATTATTAAACGAGTTGGAAACGTTGATTAAAAACAGCCGGAACGATTATTAAATGTGAATGATGTTTTCAAAATGTCATCAAAAAACTATTAATGACAGGTAAATCACAGACCGCAGTCTTGGCGCTGCTATTATCACGAGGCATAATAATATTACACTATTGTAATAATAATAATAATTATTATTATTTCTAGATAGTCCGTGTACGGGGTTAATTAGGAAAGGAAACGCCAAAAGAAGATACCCGAAGACGTCGACGGCATGTAAAATCGCGATTAACTCACTATATCATAAATCATAATATAATAAATCTACTAGGTATCAGAACAAATAAATCAGAATGGAAACTGGTAAGTGATAACAAATTACACGGACAGCATATGCCGCCGTCGAAACGAGTGTAAAATTAGTGTATTTTTATATACATATATTGATTTTATACTATAAACAATGATGGTACAATAATTCCTCCAACAAAATAGCTACTGATTTTTGTTCACATTAGAGTCTCCAGGGCCTGGTATCAATGAGCAGTAATTTATAATCAGTGTATTGGTTTTGGTTAGGCGTGAAAACAATAGGGCTCGTCTGAAAGTACAACCGGAAGTGCATCGAAAACCGGATGCGTTTAAAAAATATATATATTAGTATTTATAATATACGATTGAAATTGATACTTTGAAACCGGTCGAGTCCACCTCCACGGCCGATAAGTAAGATACAGAAGAGGCGCTCGAATTGTGATGATTATTATTATTATTATTATAAAAATTATCGACTTTACTATATGAAAAAAACATGTACATATTGTTTTTTTGTACGATGTACCGAACCGTAAAAACAGGTAAATGGGTCAACCAGTAGTTTGTAAGAAAAAAAAAATACTAGCATTTGTCTCCAATTTTTTTCTAATAATTAATTATGCAGACTTTTATAAATTTTAATAGTTTCGGTTTTTTGAACACGAAACGACCACATGCCGAACACGTCGTCGGGTTACTCGTTTAAAATAATATGCTATGCGAGCAGACGCCATAAAAAAAAGAAAAAAGAAAAAAAAACATTTAAAAAAAATATGAAAAAAACTTTTTATAGGTATTTTTTCACTGCAGAGCAAGTCTGCTCAGCCTACGGTCAGTGACACGGTGTGCTTAACATAATAGGTGTCGTTTGCCCCACCAAAACTAAAGCTCGTGTGACATAAATAAAATTGTTAAAAAAAAATCTAGAGATTAAGAAGAGTATGTGTGTACTCAAAACTCCTACGCCATCGTTATGTAACACCACCCGGGCTATTAATTATAATTAATTCGTGAGCGATGTAATCCGCTCCGTTTTTACCGCAAAACCGATTTAACCAGAGGGCCACTGCTGAGCAAACGAGATATTATTAATATAAAATAAAATATAATACACATTCACACCAGTCTGTCGTCACACGTTATGTAATAACATGACCGCTATGTCATAAAATGATCGTATTATTAGCAGATCTCCGAGGACAAGTTTGGGGCACTACCGCACAATTTTGAACGAAACGCGGCTACCATAATATTGTTTTCGCGGGGTCGGGTCACAATTGCTGAGAAATTTTGGTCAAAACGAAAACGACCTTTTCTTCAATTTCCATTTTGGCTGGTTCGTCAAAAAATTACACCATACAGACAAGTGAATATTTTCGCTCTCCACTCCATGGACAGCAGTAATATTATTAGTAGCCGTTACTAGTTGTAAATTTTCAAAGGTCAAGAGGTAGTACGAACGGTCCGGTCAAAACTAATACCGCGGTATAGCGCCATTCGGGTGACCACTCGAGGCGGGTAGTACCTAATATATTACAAGAATCCATGTGCAAAGTGTCGACACGTACCTAATAAAAATGAATATAATATTCCCATCTACAAGCGGTGGTGTTACGTAACAGCGACGGATTTTCGAAAACATAAATGGCAATAATGTAAATTCAGTTGGAACTGGTGTTTGACATGCATAAAAAAAAAATCTTAGACGTCCCAACCCGTCACCATCAACCCTGAAATCGAGAGACAGAGTAACATATTCGTGTACGTACCTCGGTCGTAGCAGTGGTAGTTTTGCAAGTGCAGAAAAACAAAAATCGACAATTATTAGTGTCCATCATCGGTAATGGCTGTTTTAAAACTAGAATGGTAATTGGTACCGGCTAAACTGCTGCAACGCGGCCGAGGGTTTTGCACGGGAAAACACGGGCCGGCCGGCTGCAGTCGTATGCATTTTTATCTGGCGACCGTTTTATAAATAGACGGGCAATAACAAATAAAACTAATATACCCTAATATTATTATTATAATTGTTAAACTGCGTATCGTACCGGTTTACCGTTTAGCGATAACGGTTATATAATAATATTAAAACGCGGTCGATTTGCCCCGTTTGTCCCCTACTGCTGTGCACGGGGTGTGTACAATTTCAAATCACTTAATTAACGAATAATATTAATCATCTTGGCCACTCACTTTGCCGGACAATAGCTTTTCGAACTGTTCGATGGCTTTGGTGACGGTGAACGAATCGAAAAACGAATGTTGTCTCCTAGCCGCAGGACACACGGCCATGTCGCTCATTCTCATGTTTGTCGTAACGGCGCACATCAATAAGTAACAAAAAATATGTTTAAAAAAATACCGATTTTCCCGAACCGGAACGATGGAAAATTTCGATTAAAAAACGATCGAAGATTTAAAAAAAAATTGTTTTTCTTCTTCTCAAGGCGCTTGCACACGACACAATATTATTATTATTATCGACGGCGGATCGGACGGGACTCGCGACGGTTAGCGTGTGAAGCGAGTACGCGAATGGAAATCCAAGTCGGCCACACGCACTACACGGGCGGCGTACAGTATGCGGTTGGTCGCAGTGCATGTGAAACCCGAAGGGGGAACAGGCGGCGGCGGCCGAACTGGTCCCCACCGCTTGGGATCCGACCGGCTATTTTTAGGTCAACAGCCACGACCGCTTGTACTACTAAAAATATTATGTACATAATATAATATTATTATTGGGTATATAGGTACCATGTATTACCAGACCCCGAGGTATACTATACACGTCTATGTTGAATAGTTAGAAATAACAATTTTTATTTCCATAATATTATAATAATATTTGTATATTGTACAGTGATACGCGATGGATGTACTATATACCTAGTAGACATATTATTATTGCCGGCAAACGCGACCACGATTCGCAGAAGTTTCTCTGTTCTGTCGACTTGAGTTTTTTTTAAAATTATAATGAAGACCGCATCATACACGTATATACTATATATATATTTTTGATTTTATTCAAACGAACTTTGAAATCCGGGAGAAAACAACCGTTTCCCCGGTAAAATCAATCACAGTAAAAAATAGGCACCTTTTAAGTTTTACAAGGTACCTCTTTTATTTACTTTTATTATCAGTATTCATAAACATTGATTGTTAATAAAATACGCATTATACCCTTTGGAGGTTAATACAGGAAAAATCAAAATTTGCTGGCAAGGTGGCATTTATGTTCAAAAAACATAGATTATGATCGAGAAGATGTGATGAAACATTTTTCAATAATAAGACAAGGGACTGTTGATAATCCGATATATTTTTGTTATACTATAATTATTGTACGATTACTATTTTGACTCATAATTAATAATAATATTACTGTTGGGGTATAACATTAGTCAATATTTTTTTTCCTGGTATTTTCCCTAGATTCAAGCCAAAAAGTATATTTTTAATTTTATACAGGCACAGAGAGGAAAAAAAAAATAGGAAAAAAATGGCATTGTATATTACAATAGGTGGTTGGTTTAAATAGAGTTGGTCGAATTTCAATAGATGCGTCCCATAAATTGACTCAAAATTAACTTTAAAAAAATCCCATAGACGGATTTAGAAGAAAACGGTTCCAGTAGGATGAATATAAAATTTCATTAAATGTGAAAAAATCGAAGCCGAGGTGTAAGAGATACATAAAAAAAAAATATAAATCACAAGACGGTCGGCCATTGGTCTCGATTTTCAAGGGATGGGAAATGTATATTGTACAGGAATGACAAGACATTTACACGTTTTCAATCTGGTCTCACGGGCACAACATGTTAGGTAGTGTAGTTTTTTGAAAGATAGGACCATCGTTTTCATTAAATTAACCAACACTAATGGCTATTTAACTGCAAATCAGACAACAAAAGAATTTATGGTAGTAGTAGGAGGGAAGGGGAAATACAATATGGCACCCAACCGAGTAACCATCATTAAGATGGACGGACACAGTCGGTAATAAGGAGAATAAACTAGGCAATTTCTACGCAAAAATGTATACATTTATACATAATTATTATTATCACACACGTTTAACCGAAACAACGCGAACAAGCACACCTCGGTGCTTAATGAACCGCATGCAAATTGTAGCAAAACGCCCTTCATAGGTTCCAGTTTTTTTTTCTTAAATAAATTCTCAGTAGTTTTCGATGCTTTGTTTTGTTTTAATCACGGCGAAGGTTTTCTACACGGTGGCGTAAAAATCGAGATTTAACAAATTTTACTAAAATAGCTTATTTAAATCATAAATACAAGTTTAACAAAATAAAAACAAGGCTGTTGCTCGTTAATAACAAAAATGGAAACGGAGATTATGATGATTTATTAAATAAAATGTAAATAACATATTTGCAGTAAAACGTAGTACCTAGCTATAGACAAAATATAGTATTTTTCGCCTCTAAAAAAAATAATGTACGAGTATATTTGAAATACTTTGAACTTGACAAGAGACATAATATGTCGTTCATTGTAAAAGTGGTGGAACTCCAAATTTTTAAAATATACATTGTTTAATTGAGTCACATTTGGTCATATACTTCTTTACAAAAAGAGAAGCAACTCCAATAAATGTTTGTTTATTGATTAAATAATATTATGTAATTGTTGAGCCATCATTTTCTATTAAACAAATGAAACAATTATTCCATTTTTTATATATTTTATCGGAAATTGTTGTTGAGAGTAATTTAATTTTGAATTCCGCTCTCGAGACTTTAAATCAAATATATGTATGCAACTAGAAATAAAAAAAAACTGCTTAAAGTTTTGGTCTTTTACGTTAAACGAACATAATTATATCTCCAAATTATTAAATATTGGTAAGGCGATATTCTTACTGCTTACATTAATTTTAAATTTAATTATATATTGATCTATGGACAATACATTGCATACTCGCTCTCGTGTATACTATAGACATTTAGCATGCTTGCCCTATGAAATTGGTTTGATTAGTTTTTTTTCAACTAAAAAAACTCAATACACTGTATTAATTTACACTTGTTTTCTTTATCTCGCCTATTCTCATACAAATTGGGTCAGCAAGCCAAATTCTCTCACTCGCCAAATTTCTCCAAATGTAAACCCTATTGCAAAATTATCGTCCCCATCTATCTTTTGTAATTTAATTACACAACACACGGTGTTTGTTTAAGGGCATTTTAAAACTTTCTTTTCTTTTATATACAGTGTACTCGATTACCGCTTCTAATAAAAATTACACCATTAAAATATGTTAATTGTATGCGCCTCTATTATAAACAATACCTAAATCACAAGAACAATGATATCAATCAACGATTGTCAATAATAATTCCCGTTTTGTCATTTATTTATTTTGTTTTTTTTTAACGTTTACTAGTATGTAGACTTTAATTCTATTCAAATGCGCAAAAGAAAAAAAACGCACAGCTAGAATTCGTTAAGTGTCAACCACACGAACAATTATGTATATTATGTATTGTATACTACATTTTTTTTTTTACAAAAAATAAACATATACTTATCTCTCAGAAACGTACGAATAATTATATAACCAGACAGAAAAATATAAAAACTACTATTGGATGATTTATTGCCGCGTCGCGGCATTTAATTGTAGAGACACTTTTTTGTCTTATGCAAATTCACACATAAGACAAATATAAGTAACTTGAAAAAAAAAATTCTCACAATATGAGCTGTAATTATTGTGCCATACGGGTTTCGAACAAGACTACCATCGTACAGTTAAATATATTATGTCTCAAAGACCAAAGTATACAATAAGAAACGCCAGACAAACAGTAGGTACCATAGCCCGAACCTAACCCCAAAGTATCGCTCACTAACACCGATATTCTCCATTTGTAATTAGATTATAAATTGACTTCTTACAAGGTCGAATATCAATGCTAAAATATCATACAATATTCTCATATGTGTTATTTATAAAATAATATAAACTAATCTATAATTAGGAAGCACATAATATACGGTTGAGAAATACTTTGTACTAAACAAACAAAATGTGTACTATTATTATATTTTCTTTATTAAAATTTCTTTCACAACTACTATATTAATACTACACACAAGTTGTCTGATTAAAAAGTCATTGCAAAATTATGAATTTGCGTTCAACAGCATTGTTACACACGGTTAAAAAACAGATTGAGTGTATTTAAATTAAAAAAATTGCAGAGCACAGACTTTGTTCTATTTACAGTGTTGGTTTCAGAACGATTCTGAAAAGATTCTTTTCATAAAATCCCATGTCATACATACGAAGTGTTACAGTAATATTGGAAAGGTTTGCCAAAAAAATACCTTAAAATTGAACTATGAAATATTGCTATTGAGCAAAATTAATAATTCTCAAGTTTAAATTCAACTATCATTTATGAGCATGGAAAAAATGTACAATAACAATCAAATAATCCATTAATATTAAGCGATTGTTCTCACATGATGGTGAGCAAAATTATTGTATTCAACAGTATATTTTTCTAAGAAATAATTACACAGGTAAAAAAAAGTTCAAATCAAATCTGTACACTATAGTAAATTATCAAAAATAGATAACAATTTTCAAGGGCAACTATTAAATGACAAAACGTAATACCCACACATTTAATTTATCTAAGCAGAACGGAATATTATAGAAATCATTTTTTTTTCATCACATCATTAGTGTTATAAGCCAATCATATGATATTATGTAATTTACTTTTTGTCATTTAAAAGTTATATCATCTAAAACCATCCATTTGAATAATATCATTGTTAACTTCAGACAATTAACAATTTAAAAAAAAAATAACATGTAATAATAAAAATGTTGGTTACGCCCTATAGATTGTTTACAAAATAGTAAAATAGTACACACAATGCAAATTTAGTGAAATGAGATGTGCGATTCTACTTTTTTGTTATTGTAACTACTTACGTCGTACTTGTGGTATTTGTACATACAACTTAATTTATAGATATTATATTATTATTGCCTTAAACGTTAGAAAAGATAACGTTTTTGACAAAATAAATTATATTTTCTGTTTAGGTATGTATTTTATTACTTCTTGTAATGTTTAATTTTGGAGTACAAGCAAACATATAATTAATTGTTGTTATTATTATTCATACAACACTCTACGCCCAATATGGTAAACACTAGAGAGCAATGCTAAGAATATAATGTACACCGATGTACGTCATTTAATAAAATACAGATATATTAGGTATGTATATTTTATACTAGCTTAAGTACTCTTTTAAATATTATATTAATTCGCTATCGTTACAACTATTATACATCGAACTTATGCAACTCGAAGAAACGATTTAATTTTCAAGAAAAAAACAATCATGCAGCGGTCGATCCGATTAAATTTAGGTTTCGCTGAGATAAAAAAATATTACATAATTTTAGGTGTTTTTTTTCGTTCATAAAAAGCATCATTCCTCATATTTAAAACAAAGTTGAGATTTCGCACATTTAAATAATCACAATGTTAACACAAAATGGCAACAAACTTTCACTCCCTTCATATTTTTCACAATGGTTTTAGAACCTATACACATCTTTAGACTTTAGAGAAAAGTTACTAAGTTTTGTTCACAGTCTCTAACCACTTTATTCGTTCGGCCTATCTCCGAGTTGTGTTTTTTTTTGCGATGAACAAGTAGTTGGATTTACATTTGTCCCGCTTGTTTGCAATTTCTGGCACACAGTCCTATAAGTGTGTGGTAAATATCGTGTAACAGTGAGTTTTTAATAAATGTTAAAAAAACACCATCGATGATTTCGAAAAGGTATTTATTATAATCATACAATATTATACATCACACGCGCCATACAAAAAATGATTATCAAAAGATCAGTCTCGCACGTATGACGTAGTTTCCTTATTTCACAGAATTTGATTTAATCAACGATAACACCAAATAATTAGTGTATTTTTAAGAATTACACCTGCAGTATTATTTTTGACAGCGGTAGATAAATAATTATCAAACAGCGCGGGCATTTTTTGTCGATTAGAATATGACTTGGTAACCGCATCGATTGTGATGTTACACTCTTGTTAGAAAAATCAAATTAGAACGACCTGCTGTGTGCAGGTTTTAAACCTAAAAAATATGAAAATGAGAATAACCCCTAGAAGCTGACTCGAGCGTTTTTTTTAACTTAACTTAACTATATTTACAATCGGTATACAAAAAATACAATAAGCAAATTGGATATTAAACATGGTAAAAAAAAAAAAAAAAAAAGAGTCCAACGACCCCACAACTGACTCGGTCTTACCAAAATGTTGAACCTTCTTTCCCCTCCCCCGAGTCAATTTCGTCTATGGCCAGAGGATCAGGGTGGTAAACGCGGATGAACAACAAGAAGACAGTAACTTATGTAACGCGTACCTTCTTGACTGGTTAAGTAGAATAATATAATGAAATGCATGTTGAACTTACAGTGCTCGACGTGATAAAACTTGTGAACAAACTTTTCATGGCGACTGACCCAAAACTATACGGCTGAATGTCACTTGTCGGTGCGTGGAAGATATACCGGACCGATATCGGATACACTAAAACTGGTGTACAAGCATTATTGTTATGTTAAGAATAGACTCGATCGTATTTAACGGCCGTTCAGAAAAGTCACGAGAAAAAAGAATTCCACTAAAAAACGCACAGCACCGATACACGTTTTGTGTTTATGTGTGACCCGAGTGGTCACAGAACACGGATATGATTATGATGATGATGATATGGTGGAGATCGACACTGCTATTGATATTTTCTTCTCTTTTTTTTTTAACTAGATCGACAATCATTAATCATCGAACGATCAATAATTATCTCCTCGGCCTGCGTTGGCGTACGCCCAACGACTTTCGGGTGTTCGTTTTTTTTTTTTGGTTTTTGGAACCGTTTAAGGGCAGTTTTGTTTCTTTTTCAACTAGGTATTCATTATACCTTATACATATACATATTATACTATTGTAATTATTAGAGAGAACGCGTTCCACTTCACATCGACCGGGCCGGCTACACACTGTCTGCGTTGTGGCCCTGTGATCGAACATGGATAATTTAATAAGCCCATTAACTTTATTGTTCCGTACGGTACTCGTTCAATTAATGGGGATACGCTGTTCAAACGAATTCGATGCATTATTTTTTTTTTGACGTCATACCCACACACACAAACACATCACCAGCCACTCGTTGTCCCGGTGTTTGTATAATATTGTATCGTCGACGTTGAACATGATGATATCAGGCCTTGGCTAAATGTGGTTTTCAGTAAGTGTAAACACCCCGCAAAATACCAGCCGGACACTATTTGTGATGTATAAAGGAAAAATCGCTACAGTAGTTGATGAAAAGATGCTGTACAACGGTGTACAGACAAAAGCACATTATCGTAAAATACTTCTCAACTTCGCGTCCGAGCTTTTGTTTCGTTTGTGAGGGTAGATACTAAGTAAGAGGGTCAGAAAAATCGAAAAAGTCTTTTTTTTTGTTAGTAAATTTTCACTTAAAAGAAACGAATGAGCCGGTCTAAGGCCAGGATTAAATTCAAAAGTACACCTACCGTATCTTGAGCCTCAAACGCACTCAAAAGTTTGGCTAGATCAGTGGCGTATCCACAGGGGGGGTTTTGTGGATCAGAATACTACCCATGGACTATTATTATTTTTACAAGTTTATTTGTTTATACATTTAATGATATAACAAAACAATACATATGTCGAATATACACCATAAAATGTACTTTTATAATGTTCACCGTTATTAATCGTTATAATATAACGGCGGCCTTTCTTATTTTTTCTTATCACACGTTTTAGAACTTTGGTCGTTTAAATTTGTTGACCCCTCCCCTCTATAAAAATGTCATGGATACGCACCTGGTAGTATCCTGTATCCAACGTTATTTTTGAGATATGTTAACCCCCCATCAGACTTAAAGGGGATTCAAATGCATACAGCTTATGCGAATTTGTGACTTTTATGGATGTGCGACATATTATATATTACTACACGTCATTTTTTCCGCACCCATATCGTTCGAGAGGAATGTGTATACAAGAACAATATGGTATTATATTAGGGACCACGAGTAGATAATAACGTATTATTATTTTAAGTGAGCTTTCGAGTAGTTTTTAGATATGGACTACTTTCGAGTGGTACGATACGCTTGCAGTATAAGTCGTCCAGAAAAAAAAAAATATAATAAAACCGTTCTTATCCGTGGGCAGTCACCCGTTTGTCGGTATAGGAGTGTCTCCATTGACGTCAAATGTTTAATGTCGGCTTGTTGTGTAGTATTATGTTTGGAAGTGAGCACAGAAGGTTAATCGTATTAGACAACAACACTATCGGCGACGACAGAATAAGGTTTTCTATTGACAGTTTCGGTAATGTTCAAGGTTTCCCCCTTTGGACGAACAACGACGGCGGGCCACGGGGTATGGTGAGATGTCTTATATCATATAGGCCAATAATATTACTCATATTATTCTACGCCGGCATTTATGTAAAATTATATAATAATTATAATTTCTATTGCAAATTATACGACACTTAGAAGTGATTGAAAAAGGTCATTTTGAAATTTACATTACAACGGGCAGTCAAACCAGCTAAAAGTCTTATACTGTGGAGGGGACTATGACAGTTAGGCTGAATTTTGGAAGCGAAAGGAATTTTTTAAGTATCTAAACATTATAAGTCCTCTCCAATCAGGTCTCCTATAGATAAAACAGTAGGTTTATAGGAAGGGGACGACTGACGAACATGCCCCCCTGGAATAATTTGAAATGTAATCTCTCTTAGAAAGTATTTGGACACAGAATTGATGGCTATACTTACAATTTAAGTGTAGATTAACCGATGGTTTTAACATTGCTAAATTATATTTCGTGGCAGCGCCAGACATTTTTCAAAAGTAGGCCAAAACCAAGTAATAATTTTTCTTAATATTTTAATATGCGAATTCTACAATAAAAGGGGGTGGGGCACTTGCCTAAGTCTAGTGCTGCGAACTACATTTAAATTTCAAGAAAAGTTTATGAAAACGGTCATAAATGTTTATAAATTAATTGTTATTGTATGATAAAAATAAAAAATGAGTTAACTAAACCAGCACAAAGACCACAAAGGTATCTATGGCATCAATAAAGGATTCTTTTCGGCATTGTTGACTACTCTCTTAATTTCCTATTCTCCACATGTTCCATATTCTCTTTAAAAAAAAATCGAGGTACATCTCAAAAATTTGAAACTACACGAATTTTACTTAAAATCTTAAAAAGAACCACCGGAAATAAGCCTGTCCCCCGTAACTTTTAATATACAGTTAGTTTTTTCTTAAGTGAATTGTATTTTCTTTAGGTAAACAAGTTTCTAAGTGTATTGGATGTTTCGACCTAATGGCGTTCGATAATTTATCAACAAAAAAAATAATATTCGCCTAAAACCAAACAAAATCCTTAAGTACAAATAGTTTTCTGTCATTATCACTAATATGAACACTTGTGCCATTAACAGAAGAAAAACATTATGGTAACAATAAATGTTAAATGATAGAGATGAGTCAGAAAGTCATCCTTAACAACAAAATATAATAGTAGAAAACAAAACCATGAATTATGATATTATTATGTATACACTTTTTTGTGAACATTTTATAAGTGGCGCCTTGGGATAAAATTAACATCGTTGGTTTAAGTTTTAAAGTGAAGTTTTTGTAACGACAATGCTGGAATTTTAATTTTTATAATCTTGAAATTCGCCAAATATTGTAAACATTCTTCAGCTAATAGTTAAAGATAAACACTAGCATATACACAAATGTATTAATGCATTAAAAGTTTCAAGTTATGAAGAAATGTTTTTTTAAGAAAAATACTGCCCGTCAAATCTGTGTGAGAAACATTTAAACGGTTCAATGACTCATCATTTTCACAGTTCAATCACTTAAGGCTTAAGTAGTACTTTATAAAAAAAAAAAGCGCTTGCTATACCTATAAATAAATCGTCTTGTGCATTGGATATAATTAATTTACAGTTAATTCATGCTCTATAACGAACCGGGTCGCGATAACAGCACTATAGTAATTATTATTCTTTTGAAAGTCATTTATTATTATAGAATATTTATAGAAATACAATAATTATCCCGCGCAGGAGAATATTTTATAATGTGCCTTCGATTTGTTTATTGAACCGATCCGTTTATTGATAGTAAATACACATAAAACAAATCAACTAAGTTAATATTACAATAATTAACAAGAGATTAATATACTAATCAAATACCGCATTCAACAAGACATATAAGTGTGTATTCAAGGCGTTTCAACACATCCTTAACATTTTTATCTCATTCGGTTTTGACTATTTAATAACTTTTCAGCAAATATTTTTTATTTAGGTATATGTATATGCTGCGTACTTAAATCAGGCCATGGACACTGATAAAAATTAACACGGGGAAGATACTTACCATACAAAAACGCGGCGGCCATCTTCTTAAGTCTACGCCACTATAATGTTATATCTATACATTATCACTATTAGTTATGTATAGATATAACATATAATACTAAATAGACTTTACAAAATGGCCGTCACATTTTTTTGACTACATTGAAAGTGACCTTTCTGCTTTTATCTATTCTGTGATTAAATTTGGTACAAGTATAAGGTTAGGTAAGGTAGTTTTTAAGGCTAGAATACAATTTTTTCCATGTCGTTGGAACCGTGGAATTGAATTTGACTATTCTACTATTTTATTACATTGAAATTATCTAAGAATTTCGGGCAACGTGTCAAAAAACCTGGAACACAGCGTTTGGCGAATATATTATATTATTATGTTTGTAAAAAAAATAGGACGAACCTACGTAGGTCTGCGGTCGGATGATAATGATCAGGTACGAATCGGCTAGAGGTCGAAACGCTATAAATTATAATTAACTGTAATGTAACAATAATATAGAGATTAACGTCGAGTTGGCGAAAACAGACCGACTTACGAGAAAGTTACCAAAAAAAGAGCTTGCAAGTATAAATGTGTATGATAGTATCTATGACAGCTGTACACAAGACGTTGTTTACTCAGCAAAATAATTTACACGCGCAGTCTAAAATAATCAGGCCGATGAACTTTTTTTTTAACATGATGAAGGCGATAGTTTTTTATGAACACAACATTTTTTTTCTTATTCTCCTAGGCCTTCAGCTGTACAACGTCAAAACACAGTAACCAACATTCTTATCAAAATTTACTTTTAAAAATAATTCTTGGTACTAAAACATGCTAAATTTGTCTATAATATCCTCATTGGAAACACACAATTATTTCAGGAGTTATCATACGGTAAAGTAAAACAGTTACATGGTTGGAGGCCTGAATCATTTTACAAAAATGGTTTCCCTGTAAAATTATGATAAATACAGTTACTGTGTTTTGACGTTGTACAGCTGTCTTATGTACACCACACGAGCGGGGTCGGTCACACCATGATTTCCATATATTATAATTAATTTCATTATTTTCTAACCTACATCACCTTTGCTATGCATATGGCATTGGCTTCCTGTTGAAACACAACGGTATTTGGCTAGAGTTACTTAATTTTACTTAATTAAAACTAAACATACCTTTTATATTATCTGATGACATGTCATTCATATCACTTTTTTATATCATATGTCTGTTATCAGCTTATTTATCCTTATCACTACTATCAAATACTATATATGATAATACCGGAAAGTCAATGTTAATACACAGATATATTTATAATAAACTAGATTACTAACTAGTGATAATAATGGACGTAATATTATGCAATACGATGAAAAAATAATATCAAAATCTAACAATAAAATACCCAACATAAACTTACCACAGCCACTGTTTTCGTAACCAAAATGGTCAGTTAATTTTGGTTATTATGCTATCAACGACCAATTACTAATTTATCATTTTAAAATGTCAAACATTCTCGTTGTAATTATTCATTTCATTTAAACTTTAAATCTGAAGTACGAATAATAGCACACGCTATGCATTCTACTGGGAATATTAAAATTAAAATACAGTGATCATTTTATCGTGAACCACTCAATATATCTCATAGGGTTTAATAAGAATTTTTTTTTCATGTTTTTGTACAACTACTGTCTCAATTTTTAAAATGTTTTATTGTTTATTGTTTATCCCCATGTAAAAACAAAAATAATTGTGAAAAATTGAGATCACATTGTATAAAAACAAAATTAAAATACAAAATTTAATTTCTTATTAAACCCTTAGAGATATTGAGTGGTTCACGATAAAATGATCACTCCGTAGAATATACATGTTGAAAAAAAGTCAAGTTCACCCCTCCAAAATATTGTAAGCATCGCATCGAACCTAAACCCTGTCCACCGGCCTTCTCTATTGTACATCTTTTATTCGTAGACAAGAAAAGTTCAAAGTGCATTAACTTTAAATAACACAATGTGATTCTTCTATATGCTTGCGCACGGGATACGTTTATTGAACAATATCATTGTCGATCGGTTAAAAGGCTAAACGAGAGGTCTATTACACAACGTTAATTACAGCGGTCGTTAAAAAAGAAAAAAGAAGACATTTGTACGGATTTGCGTCACACGACAGATAACTCTGGAGTGTACTATTATGAGAGACACGATAACACCGTTAATTCCTCATAACTCGTAATGAATTCATTATTCCAAGAAGGTATATTATTATGCCAAAAAGCCAGTAATTCCATATCAGTTTGTAGATAACAATATTGTCGGGCATTAAAATAGTATAATGTATCATAATCTGCGATTAGCTTGTAATTCATTGATGGGCGCTTACAAAGAGAAAGAGAGACAGACAGACAAAAAGACAGAGAGAGAGAATATGTGTGTGTGGAGACTACGTCAAATTTTATTTAAATCTTTTTCGGACGATAGTCAATATCATGATTAATATTTCAGCAAAGGCGTAGGAAAAAAAAACAATAGTACGAAACCGACAAACACCTAAATAGAATAATATGTTACAAGTTAAATATATATATATTTTTTTTTCGAATTTCGTCTTGCCCTTTTGTGTAATCGTTTTGAACCGTTCTAACGAATGACGTGCTTATTATTTCGAGAAAATAATAATAAATAATATCAACGTTTTTCCGTAATCAACAGCTAACGTTTTCAAAACGCGTACCGTTTATTGTCGTTTGTTTTAATAGGTTTTATTATCGTTTGGAATAATGACAAATACGTATTATATAATAGTAACAATGATAATATTATAACACAAAATCGTGTGACGTGAACCGTTTGTCCGAATGATTCATTTCGTGACGGTTTTCGGTTTGTCCTCTTAGAAGAGCACGGTCACTTCAGAGTATATTAAGTGACTCAAAAAAAATGAAACAAAAAAAAAGTATAATTCGGCATAATTCGCTTAGTCAAAAATATATTATGTTTATGATTGTACAGGGTGTTTTTTTTGCCACTCGATATCTCCACCGAGTTTAATTAATAATGTAGTTGTTTTTTTTCCATAGTGTTTTTATATAATGTGATCTGGATTTTCGACAAATTTGTACGTTCCTACCCCCATCTAATATTAGTTTTTTTTATAGCAACTTTTGAAACTCAAATGGTAACCATAGTGCAAACAAAATTGCAATATCTGGTATAGTTTTTTAAAATTTAGTTTAAAACTCAAAACGTTTATTTCTCACTGTTAGGTACAATTTCAAGCAAAAATTCTTCATGGAATATTATTACATCAGTGGAAACATATTTAACGGTTAACTCAAGAAAACACCCTTCCCCATCAAAAAAAAAAAAAGAAGAAAATTGAAAAGTCCTCTTAACAATTGTCAAACGACTTTACTGACTTAACTATATGCACCGGCGTGTTTATTTTGTATAATTTGTTTTTCTACTCGATCGACGTCAAAGGTTAGATGACGAAAATACCATAACTGTAATGCGACTCTGATGACATTAGTTTTGGACAACAAGTGATTGTCGAACCGGCGAAATTTACGTCATGGGAAAATATATGCACGACGAACTTTGCACAGATAATTACATAACCAATATTAATAATAATATAATATAAATAATAACACTTAAGGACACCACGGCACATACAATTATAATTTTATAATACGGTTTCTTATCGCGGTAATTTACTACAAGCGCGATAGCGTCTTACAATAATAATAAGAAATGTGTGGCGAACCGGTGGAGGAACCAGCTTAATAATAATAATACACTGTTATAACGGATTTACCGCATCCAATGCAATTGATAGTAGCATCGCACCGTGCACATAGTGTTATTATAATCCGCATCGAACCGAAATCAATTGTAACCCGTTGTGACGATGATCGATGATCGACGATCGATGATCGAAAATCACACGATAAATGCCGAGGCAAACCGGTGGTGTACAAACTAGTAGGCTACGGCCATGACCGGCCTCTATGAATTTTAAGTTAACGGCCCAGCCATCGTTGAAGTTATGAGTTACACATATTATTTCCTTGTCAACTAAGAAAATTGAAAAAAAAAACTTCAATTTAATCTTATCGGATCGTTAACACTTTTTTGAATACAATAAAATATCATAATTCATAGCAAACCCAAAGCGATGCACAAAATCAAAATGTATTTATCCAGTTAAAATATAAATTTTTCCAAATCCTTAACAAATTAAAAAATTATTCACCTACCCCGTACATGTATATTATTTGGCCCCAAAAGTTTATTTTGCTACCTATACTTTCGAGAAAAAACCATGTTAAAGCTTGGAACTTTTAAATTTACAAAAGATTTGATATGAGTTTTACGCCATGTTGTTGAGACTGATCCAATGTAATTCACAATACACTATAAAGGTACTGTATAGAAATGAAAAAAAGTAAATTTCAAGTAGTTTTGATATTCTTGGTAGTTTTAAGGATTGAAAAATGCACATATATTTTCACTTTAGATTTGAGTAAAACTTGCACAACAATACTGATGTTGTAAATGAAAATACAAATAAGCCTCGACAACTATATTTCTCATTTAGATACAAAGTATAGGCCGATGTTTGCAGTCCCATTAAAAATGAAATCGACTTTATTGGATTTGTTTTGTTGATGAATTCGATTCTGACATCAAAATTTCTCTGCAGCGCAGTTGTATTTCAAATCTCCTTCAAATTATAAAAAAAAAATCCGTTTTGTAGTAGTATTTACCATCGTGCAAGAGAAAACAAGCCAGACGAGTAGGCAACAGTCGGCGGCATACTCTATAATATCCGAATGTAAGTAATTAACAAGATATCGTTGCACAATTTGGCACGAACCACGAAGATATTGTATCAAACAGATAACGTTTTTCTTATTGAAATCTAACGGGTTTATTGTGTTTATAAATTTGTCAATTATTTTTGTTTTGCAGGCAAACCGATAAATCAATACAAAACAAATTATCGCACTCGGTTAAGAAATGTTTGCACATTAAACGCGCAACAAGCATTACACTCTTCGATATTCCTGCGTCATTGTTTCATTGTAAACACTTCTACATAACCCGTTCGGTAATTGAATAATAATATATTAATGAGTATTTATATTTGCCGTTCATACTATGCAGGTGTAGTGGGTGAAAATTGCACAAGACCGAATAATAAACGCGTAGTACAATGGTTATTTTTTTTTTTTGCGTTTTAAATAATTAAATTTAGTTTTTACAACTTTCTGACTGTTAGAAAAAAAAAGATCAAAGATTAACTATTATTGTTATTATAATAATTATTAATCTATTACGGTATACTTATACATAATATTGTATTGTACGTTTAAAGTTTAATCGACGGACTATGAATGAATAGTGTCCGAATGTAAACAGAATAATATCACATACATTAAGGAAATAGTAGTGTATTTTAATTACGGCAATAAACCAAACCGTTTATGCGATGGTATTATTATTGTTATTGTTATTATTATTTTAGTGTACTTATAATAACGGCTGTAGTAAAATTTACATTTTTGGCCGGTCGCATTGTATTTTTTTTTTTTTTTTAATGACCAATTAAATAAATCCAATGCGACTTTAATCAGATAATAATATCGATAATTTATTTTAATTAGCCAGATGTTGAAACATTTAGTTTCATTCAGTTTGATATTTAATTACAGTAATTAACACATTTATACGAAATTAATATGGTTCTTTTTTATACAATTAAAAGTGATTATAGAAAATTATCACAATTTTTACAAGCGAAATCTCCGTAATCTTTAAAAGAAATCTTCTGATGTATACATTTCGCTTATTTCATATCATATGCATACTATATAAGATTACGACTCATGTTATCTGACACACGGTTACACTATTATAGATTGTCCAAGTTTAAACGGGCGACGACTGTCTTGTTAAATTTACTAACTTGACCCTTGTTTTGGAGCGGTCGATCGACTTCAGCCAGCTGAAGTTATTTTCGACGTGTTAAATAAGACTAATTACATGTATGAGTGCCGGAAAGTGGATTGTTCTATTTTAAACGTCTTAAACTATACAGCTAGAAAATAATAATATGTTGATTAGCCTGCAATTGCTAAGTCAATCGAACTGAAACGTCGAGGGGACAAAGGTTAAACATAAACGCGACATCCAATACAAAGAGAACAATCTAAAACAATCACAAGTGAACGTATTCAAAAATAATTAATACTGTTGACCCAGTTTCGTGTGGATACACCGTTGGGTTCACCATCATATGTTAATATCAAAGTTTAAATTGTCTTAGCTGCTTAGACCTACTTAGCAAATCACATCCGTTAAGCATCACAATTACCAGCGAGCACATTATTTTATAGTAGAATTTATTAATGTAACCAATAGTTTCGCCTTTCGGAATTTTACAGGTCACTTAAAATGTATTTATACAAATTCAATAAAGATACAATACGTAGTTGATAATTATGTTTAGAGTGTTTATGACAAGATAAAAAAATGGTTTTTATTTTACAGGAGGTTATTGTAAATGTAATTGTAATGTATGGAACATTAATTATGAAATCTGTTAATATATTGGAGAAGTCAAAATGAGCCAAGAAGGGCGATAATGGAGCAGAATCCGTGTGGAAAAAGATCTTTGAGAAGGCCTAGAACGAGATAGCAAGTTACTTGGTGGAGGTCCAAATTGGAAAGAGAAGACATCATATAGAAAAGGATAGAGGATTGGATGTTAGATGGGATGTCTCAAAGACCTATATAAACCAGAAAAAGGAGAAGAATAAATATTTTTCCTTTATTTTGTATTGCTAATTCTTCTATCTACTAATATCCTAATATATTTTAATATTCTATATTGTAACATACTGTTTATGTATGTATGGACTACTTCATCTTCAATGTTAAATTTAATGTTATGTCCGTTATCAAATACATGTTTTTTTTTTTTTTGCAAAATTGGATTTTAGATTGTTTTATTAAAGTCTAATAGCTGTAGTGTACTTTTTGTATGGTATTTTAACGTTACGGTTGGTCCTGCCTACACCTATGTATCACATTTTATTACATTTACATTTCAGTATGTATATTCCTGGGTAGTTGTGTTTATTTTTATTATTAAGTCTAGATGAAAATATGTATGAAGATATATTGTTACAAATATTGTTAAAATGCAAATTTTTGGAAAAGTTCTATGAGGCTATAACTGTTTCGAGCTTTGCATTTATATTACAACTTTTAATTTGTAACTTTTTTACACGTTTTCAGTATGACCATACAAATTCATTAGTACATTTTTTCATTCGCGGTTCTACGATTCCTGAAAATATCATATACCTATCATTATGTATGAAATTCCGAATTAGTCACCCCGTCGACTCATAGTTTGAACACTTACAGACTTGAGAAAGTGACGGGGAATAACGTCAGTAGTGCTATAAGTGATGTGAATCACGTGTGCGGTATAACTCAAGAGGCTCGGACCTAAATGTATTATTGGGATGTCGATGAACTAAGCGCGGCCATAACCACCAACACAACAGTCATAACGCTTTAACCGAATTTTCCCCAAATAAATGTAGGTGAACGATACCGATTTTCGGTACAGTGACGTCGACAACACGATTTGCTTTGTCGTTAAGCACAATGTTGCCTTTGGCCGTACAAAGATTGTGTAAAAAGTAGAAAATCCAGCCCATCTGCTGCCGGTAGTTGGTCGGTTAAGACTGACGCACGAAACCCATGAGGTTTACTCTAATTGTCTATTCAAGCAACGGCACGTACCACCGCTGTGTATATACATATGTAATATTAAATACAATTATTCCTACTGTTTTATTTATTTATTTTTTATACGTGTGTGATTGCTGCTTAAGCTCGCAAGTCACGCTTGAGATGCGAGTACCGTTTACAATTTTTGCCAGTCTTGTTATATAAATAACTTGTCACATTTGACGTTTCGTTGTTGACCAATTTCAACATTGAGAATACAAAACAGCAGAGCAGTCACACGCGAGTCCGTATTGTCAGCTTCTGATATTTGAAAACACATACATTCCTTTTGAGGCTACCAACTGCACTCTGCAGTAGCAGTGCTTCCCCCAGTGGAAGGAATACGTGCATCAGGACACCATACAAATATTATTATATCAACCGTTTAAAGATTTTGAACAATAATAAACGGAATTGAAAGATTAACGATGTGGAGGGGAAAACGAGAATTTAACCGAACCTGGTTGGATGTATGTTGAAAGATAACGTAAGTGAGTTCAGGCTGGACCATAGAGTAAAAATATATAGAACTGTAACATCATATTATATAATGTCCTGTGCTCAGCAACGAAGTCATCAAGAAGACGAGCGACAGTGTGACCACTTTGAATAAAAGTAAATCATATTTATTATAAGTTGTTAAGCAATGCACAGTATAATCTTTATCAACTATATACATATCAAAAAATAAATTCGGATTTGAGATGATTATGTGATAATATTGTTATAACCGATAAGTCATATGTTTTGTATCACATGGTTACAGTAGTGAAACAAATTAATAATATGTACAAAATTTAATTTCGTCATTCTGGTCAAACTGCTGCAGCTCACTTTTTTGCTTTCTTCATAATATTTAATTTATTGTGAACCCCTGGCCTAGACAGAGAACTCAAGCTAACCAGAGATTACAGAGGTAAGATGAGCTTGTGGAAAAGGTGAATAAATGGTAATAAGGATGCGTATAAAAAAATACATACATAAACATACAATAATTGTTCCAATGCAGTTGTGCTATTGACTATTAGTACAGCAGGCATACACCAACAACAAGGGAAACGTTTTAAACATCACAAAACGAATTTTTTACACGTGTTTTCTTCGAGTTAATTAAATTTTGTTAAACCGCCTTGATAATATTGTTATTGTCCGCTTTTTTAAATTGTTTTATAAAGTTAATGTTGAATTTGGATAATATTTACTTTTGAATCTAAAAACACAATCGGGAAATCAAACAAATAAATTACATTTAGCCATCGTAAACAGGTTACTTGATTTATAGTAAAACAAACTAGTGAAAAACGTGTTTTAGCGTTATAAATTAATTGTTATTATATTATTATTATTATTATTATTATTATAACTATTATTATTATTATTATATTATACTGAATTCCGTTAAAAGTTGCTAACTGAACGTGCGTCAACGATCAACTTGACTTGATAATAACTATTAAGGCCGTCCTTATAGGATATGTCGTTTTTGTCTACTCCATTCATATGTATTCATACATATAGTATTGCGTTAAAGTTTAAATAATTATTATTTATTACAAAAAAAAATGTATATACATATAATATTACTTAATATAATTTATTATATTATTTCTGTTATTTATCGTGACTACCATGACTATTTCACAAGAAAACACAATAATATTAAATTGTCATACTTCACGCGACGGCTGTTAAGTTATCTGCTACATTCGAATAGTTGTACACACTTGTTATTAATTATATTACTATGTAAACAAATGCTATTCACTATTATCACAAAAACCCTGATTTTGACAAATGAAAGATGGTACCTTTTCCCATGGACGATCACATTATTATTACTTGGCACGGCTTTGAACTAACTGAATACTTGTCAAATGCTATTTAGAAGGTAAACGACAAAAAAAATAAATAAAAAAAGCATGAACGCAAAATACAATCAAGGACTTTCACACAAATATGGCGGTGTTGATAACTAGAAAAAAAAAAATTTTCCAACTGGTTTTGGAATTTTAGCGCCGTAATTGTCAACGCTGACGTCAATATAATATGTAAGTAACGTTCACGAACTGCAGCGCATAAAAATAGCATTAAAATTTCGTAACAAATTATTTATACACTAATTAACGAACCTATTAATGGAAACGTATATTGGAATTGCAAAATCATTCAGCCGGAGTATATTTGCATCATATAACTATTATGAAAAAAAAACGAATAATAATCAACGAGCAGCGATAATTAAAAACCGTATCGTCCTGAACAAATTAATTTATTATTTAAATTTTCTCAAAAAAAAAAAAAAACTGCAATAGACAAGTCTTTAGGTATCCTTCGACCGTCGATTACAATGCGATGATTTATTAAGGATAATAAAAACTTCAAGAAACTTCGGAAATACTTCAGTAATATAGACCGTTTACATAACTTAAGTCTTAAGTTAGTTTACAGTTGTTTTATGCGAAGTTCTATGTGTCAACAAAAACAACATCTGGGTAAATGTCGATTAGTAGATTTGATACGAATTATCTAGTTAAACTGTTGATTTTTGGCATAAACTGAACAAATGTATTATTAACATAATATATTGAAATCAAATATTAATTCTTGGGTCTACCCAGGGTCTCGCGAAACTTGTTAAAAACAAATTATCGGTTATTATTTATCCAAACGATCGGTTTGGAATACAGGCATGAGAGGGCGTGCGTGGTGCTTGCAGACAGTCATCGATGCCGTTACACAACCTTTTCCGTCCCCCTTGTGGCTCTAATGCAGATAACCAGAAAGCAATCGTTAAAAACTGTTGATTACTGACCAATCATTATAGTTTAATTTTTAAAGTAATTTGTACATGTTTTGAAAAATTTAGTAAAAACGCAAAAAAAAAAAAAAAATACCATGATATTCAAAATTATTTTCAGAATAAAAAAACAAGCGTGTTACCCTTGATTGATTCACCCTGCACCGATATTAACGCATCGCAGATGATATACCACAACGAAAACAATTGAATACAGTAAAAGCTATATCGTGTACAGGCTGCCACAATTGTTTACTAGTTTTGTCAGACTATTACTTCCGGGCCCTTATTTATCAACGAGGCAAGGTAAACACACAAATACACATTACTATACACTTGGTTTTATTATGTTTTCTGTCATACTGGAAGGTAGCCGTCTTAAGTGTTTGTTAAACTCGCGCGATAATTGTAAAAATAATAAACGCTAATGGACAAACACAGACAACAACACAAACGGCGTACACCTGGGTATTGATAGATATTAGATAATAATACTATTCATATTATGTTTACCGTATTTAGCATTACTCACAACTCACCACATTCCAAGTTATCTGGGTGGTCAGATCTACCCCGAATTGATTTTTCTTGTTACTTCTAGTGAACAAATCCCAGAAAAACAGGACGGTATTATACATGATAAGGGTTTTGAAAATGTAAACATTTTGTTTTTAGTAAATAACCGTTCAGTCGGGATTTAATAATTTAATGACAGTTATGGTAGGTCATGGAGCATAATATTCAACAAGGCAATGCCACAAAATAACCAGAAAGGAAACCTATGTCGAGTCAATGTAACCAGAAACAGCGAAAAACTGAAATGATTTATAGTCTATCAACAGCACAGATATATAATATAATAAACTAGAATGCTAAGTGTAAGTAATAAGAATAGAAGTCGACGTCCGCAATTTTGTAGGATTTATGTGTGTATAGAATAATATATATATATTACACTCAGTAATCACATATATATATATATATATATATATATATATATGTGATTACTGAGTGTAACTTAATTTATAATTGTTAAAAACATATTAAATGTAATAAGATTCTAATTTCCACAAATATGCAAATGTAGAATATACGATGATAAATGATAATAACATACACTAAAGAAAAGAGTTGCCAAAACTATAGGGTACTATATTATAATTTTTGGTGTAAAAATGAATAAGTTCTCCATAAATAATGAAATACAATGAATTTCAAGCGAAAGTAGAAGAAAAACAAATCCTCAATATCGGGATAACTTTTTGCTGATAAGGT